CTTGATGTCCAAAGTGAGCCTACATAAGAAGTAGTAACATAGAAGTCTATTCAGCCCAACTATAGAGTAATCTAATTCAAGCGTTGAATAGGGCAAAGAGCCATTAGAGTCAAAAATCATCAGGGATAATAGTACTATTAGATACTGGTATTAAACTCCCTACCCACTAGGGCCCATTATCTATCTCTCTCTCATCTCTCCTATCTCTTATATAAGAGACATGTATTTTATCTTGACACTACATGGATTCTAAAGTTTTCTCTTCTCATGTCAATATAGTATCAGAGCCCTAGGTATTTTATCTCTCTAGTATTGTTGAGGTCTTGGTGTCCAAAGTGAGCCTGCATAAGAAGTAATAACATAGAAGTCTATTCAGCCCAACTATAGAGTAATCTAATTCAAGAGTTGAATAAGACAAAGAGCCATTAGAGTCAAAAATCATCAGGGATAATAGTACTATTAGATACTGGTATTAAACTCCCTACCCACTAGGGCCCATTATCTATCTCTCTCTCATCTCTCCTATCTCTTATATAAGAGACATGTATTTTATCTTGACACTGCATGGATTCTAAAGTTTTCTCTTCTCATGTCAATATAGTATCAGAGCCCTAAATATCTCTCATTGTCTTCTTTTCTAGTGTACTGCTCTTCTCCGGCACGCTACTCTTCCCTCTTCTGGTGTCACCATCTCTGTCGTCACTCTCCTTCTTTTAGTGCTGCCCTCTTTGTTGCCATCGCCCCTCACTAGTGTCATTACTCTTCTCCTCTTCTCCAATGTCTCCACCGTCACCAATGTTGTCAAGGCCCCTCCTTGCCATCACGTCCTCACAGTCACATCATTATGGACATCGTTGTTCTTAGGTGCTGAGGGCATTGTTACCACTGTCAAGGTCTCTCCTCGCCATCATGCCTTTGCCATCACACCCTTGCCGTCGTGCCCTTGCCATTATGCCCCTAGCCCTCGTCGCAGCGGCAGCTAGGGTTTTGCCCATCTCCTAACAAGCCACCGGTGGTTTTCTTCTAAACCGGCCCACTCAAGACCAGCCTAGCTAGACTTGACAGCCCTGTGCAGATCCGTAGACCTAGCGTGGCCTAGCTAGCCCCAGCCAGCTCTGCCTACCCCTCTAGACTAATTCATTCACCCCAACCTACTCACCCCACCACCTGCCCTTGCAACTTAGACCCACCAGCCTCATAGCGTTGTCTCATCCCTCTTCATTGCCTACCTCCAAGCCCTTTGAGCTTCTTTCAACTAGTGTTCTCTCTTCTCCAATCATTCTTTAAGCTCACCACTCCATCACAATGTAATTTACTCGACTAGCATACACCTTTAATGGCTACAATTATGCATTGTGGGCATTTGGTTTTGAGCTCTTTCTTAGATCTCACAATTTCCTCTATCACCTCTTAGAGGACCCACCCAACCTTTAGAACTCCTTATATGTGACATGGTTGTAACTTGACTCAGTTGTCATCACATAAATACTTCAGAACATCAAGCCCAACATTACTAAGCCATTAGCATGCATCACTTTGGCCCGTCTCTTGTGGTTCACTATAGAGATCATGTATGCCAATCGAACAAATCTCGATTGAGTTGTGGGGATCTTTGAGTCTCTTCTCTCTTGCAAATAAGGTAATTTCACCCATCAAGCTTGCTATAGTCGCCTCCAAGCCTTCATCTAGGAGGCTGATGTCTATCAACCTCCTACTATCAACCTCTTGACCTTCCAACATTATCGTCAGGAGTTTTATACTAGGGTATATCTCCATAGACTTCATATGTCTATCACATCCTAGATCCAGGGGACTATTATCTTCGGGAATTGTGTGCTTAATCTCACCTCCATCTTCTTAACAGCCCTTTAGGTCACAACTGATATGTCCATCCACTCCTTTTTTTTCTCTTCAGATGTCACCTCTACTTCTTCAACTCTTGTTGTTACTACTCCATAGACTCGAAATGGTACCTCTCCTTCTTACCTTAACAATGGTTATACTCTTCGCAGACGTAGGTGCAACATTTGTCCTCTATGTCCCTATTGTGGGAAGTAGAATTATTTGACTATTAAGTATTAGAAGTAATTCGACAAGCCTACTTATACATAGCCAACGATCACTTCTCCGATTTTAGCATCCCTTGTTCCATCTCATGTTCTAACTTCTACCTTCCACATGACCTTGACACCTATAGAATATGACGCCCTTCACTACACTAATGGTACTAACGCTTCCACCTCTACTAGTCTC